CGGCACAGGTTAACGCAAAGCTTCTTTTGGCCTGGAATTAGCCAGGAAGTGCGCAGGTATTGCAACACTTGCGATACATGCCAAAGGGTGGGGAAAAGGGGGGACCGGCGCAAGGCCAAGCTACACCCCCTTCCCATAATTGAGGAACCCTTTAGTAGGGTAGCAGTCGACTTACTAGGACCCCTCAACAAAGCGAGCCCGTCAGGCAAAAGATTTATCCTGACCGTGGTAGACTATGCCACTAGATATCCAGAGGCAGTGGCCCTGACGAATATACAGGCTGAAACAGTAGCGGAAGCCCTTATGCAGATATTCTCCCGGGTGGGACTTCCCAGGGAGATTGTCTCCGATCAGGGTTCCCAGTTCACCGCCGAGGTCACGCAGCGCCTCTGGAAGTTCTGTGACGTTAAGCCTGTCATTAGTTCCCCTTACCACCCCCAGACGAATGGGCTCTGCGAACGTTTCAACGGTACATTGAAACAAATGCTCCGAACCTTCGCAGAGACCCACAAGGACTGGGAGAAATTCCTGCCTCACCTCCTCTTTGCTTACAGGGAGGTGCCGCAGGAATCCACGGGGTTTTCCCCATTTGAATTATTGTTTGGCCGCAGGGTACAAGGGCCTTTAGATTTAATCAGAGAGCATTGGGAGGGAGAACGGAGCACCGACGGTACCCCCATCATACCATATGTGTTGGCATTCCGAGACCGCCTGGAGGCCTTAACCCAGACGCTACACGAGAATTTGCAGGCGGCTCAGACACGCCAGCGCACATGGTATGATCGGGGCGCCAGGGACTGTAGCTTTCAGGTCGGGCAGAAAGTGTTAATTTTAAAACCTGTCCGACACGATAAGCTGCAGGCCGCCTGGCAGGGCCCTTATAAGGTGGTAGAACAAAGGCATCACTTATATAATAGACTCGTGCGTTGGTACTGGAGGGCGACGCATGCTCCATGTGAACATGATGAAGCCCTACCAAGAGCGCTCAGAGGAAGTGACCGCCATATGCGCGCCTAACTCAGAGGAGTTTGACAGTCTGCCTCTCCCAGATCTGCTGGGAGAGGGTCAGTTATCTGGGGACGTAGGGGAAGTTGCCCTGGGAGACCGGCTGAGCCCACAGGAGCGGAGCGAGGTACAACAGCTGTTGAGGGAGAAACAGGATGTCTTCTCTAATATACCTGGTTACACTCCTTTGGCCAGTCACCGAGTAGACACCCCAGGTCAACTCCCCATGCGGCAGACCCCGTACCGCATACCAGAAGCGGTACGGGAGAACATGCGCAAGGAGATCGATGAGATGCTCCAGCTGGGGGTGATTGAACCCTCTGACAGCCCCTGGGCCTCCCCGGTAGTGCTAGTACAAAACGGGACGGCACGACCCGTTTTTGTGTAGACTACCGGAGACTGAATGAGAAGACGGTATCGGACGCCTACCCCATGCCCAGGATAGACGAACTACTGGACCGGATGGCGAGAGGGCACTATCTCACCACTATTGACTTGTGTAAGGGGTATTGGCAAATCCCCTTAGCACAAGACGCCATCCCTAAGTCGGCCTTTGTCACCCCATTCGGCTTGTACCAATTTAAGGTCATGCCGTTTGGGATGAAAAACGCCCCGGCTACATTTCAGCGGATGGTGGACCGCCTCCTGGATGGGTTCCAAGATTATACCTGTGCTTACCTCGATGATATTGCCATGTTCAGCAATACCTGGCAGGAACACTTGACCCATATAGGAGCGGTCCTGGACAGGATTAGGGCCGCTGGTTTAACGCTGAAACCAGCCAAATGCTGCATAGGCATGGCCGAAGTACAATACCTCGGCCATTGGATAGGATGTGGCAAGCAGAAGCCAGAACCAGCCAAGGTAGAGGCTGTAGCTCAATGGCCTACCCCTAGGACTAAGACTCAGGTATTAGCGTTCCTAGGAACGGCCAGGTACTACCGGAAATTTGTCCCGAACTATAGTGCCCTGGCCAAACCCCTCACTGACTTAACCCCTAAGAACCTTCCCTGCCAAGTGACCTGGACCCCTGGGTGTGAGCAGGCATTTCAACTGTTGAAAGATGCATTGACCAATGCCCCTGTCTTGGCAGCTCCCAAATCCAACTAAACGTTTTCTTGTTCACACAGACGCTTCTATGTTTGGATTGGGAGCAGTACTGAGCCAAGTCGGGGCCGATGGCGGAGAACACCCCGTGGCTTACATCAGCCGCAAGCTGTTACCCCGGGAAGTAAGCTACGCTGCCATTGAGAAGGAATGCCTGGCTCTGGTGTGGGCCTTGAAGAAATTGCAGCCGTATTTATATGGACAAGCCTTTTCCCTGCTCACGGATCACAACCGTTGGTCTGGCTAAACCGGGTGGCTGGGGACAATGCCAGGCTGCTGCGCTGGAGTTTGGCGCTGCAGCCCTTTGACTTTAATATCCAGTACCGCCCGGGTAAACAGAATGGAAATGCTGACGGGTTGTCAAGACAAACTGACCTGGAGAAATGATCCGTGAGCCTCCCCGGACATCCCCAAGCCGATCCGTATTGGATCAGACTGTGTATGCCGGCTTGTGGGCAAGGGGGAGCAGTGTAGCGGATGGCCACGAGCTGCCCTGGGACTTACATTATGTTTAAACTGTATTCGTCTATTTGCTAAATGTCTTTGCAGTAAGGGAATGTATTCGTGTAAAACAGCTAAGTTATATGTGTAAAATGTATTGGATTCGTCTGAATGTAAGGTAGTTTCATTCCCTTAGTTTGTTCGAATGAAACTACCGAACAGTCAGACCTCCCCTGTGTGAAGTGTGTCCTCAATTACCCGTTGCAACATTGTTGCGAACGGGTAATTGACAAGTGAAGTAGCCGTCCTTTGTTCTCGGGGGTGGCCGCCATTCGACAAACGAACACGTGGCGGCGGCCATTTTAAAACTCCCGAACAGCGGTGTTTTGCCGTCAAGTGTCTGGAACTCAAATCGGACACTCGACTAGGCGAACACCGCTGAATCCTCCACAAGCCCGGTCCGTTCGGTTCCTAACTACCGAACGGCCCCTCGTTCGGTAGATAGAAAGAACCGAACGAGGGGATTCAGGCGAACCCTCCCTAGCCTCTATAGCTAGAGGCTTTCGTGCAGTTTGTTCCCTTACTCCAGGACCGACCGCAGGGCCCATTCACATGGAACCGCATTCGGCTGTTTCACTCAGTGCGGTCGGTCATTTTATTCCCTCCATAAATTTCCCGAACCCCTGGTCTGATCTGGGTGATTTTTGGATATGTTGTTCACCCAGATCAGGGCTATCAGGGGGTGTAGGATTTAAAGGGGTACCCCTACGTTTAGGGGTACATCAAGAAATGGGGGGAATTACTGTACTGGATAAGGGGATTATGATGCTGGCTGAGGGGAGGGGATGTGTGGGAGTTTACCAGGACAGGATTGGCTACTGTATTAGCATGGGAGCATGCTTTAAAAGGACAGTGTGGATTAAAGCTTTCAGTTCTGCTCCTGAAACTGTGTGTCGTCCAGTTATTGGGATTGCTGTGGGATATTGCTGTATTATTTTGCCTGCTGGAGACCTTGCCTGTGGATTTACAATTTACTTGTTCCTGAGCCTCACTTGAATTATAAGCGGAGATATCTGGGGAATATTGCATCTCCGCTACAGGTAAATAGTGAGAGGGTAACCAAGAAACAGGCCAAGAAAATAGACAAAAGTTAGGTCAGAGATACCAGAAATCCAGGCAGTCAAGAGTATTCTGTGTCAAAAGCAGAAGAAACAAATCACTATAAATAGGTTACTGGAAACCACAACTGAGTGATGTGCTTCAGGTTTAGATGGGTTTATACAGTGATTGGCTCCAGTAGAGCATCCTGTGTCATTCATACGCACTTAGAACTTGCGTGTTAGTTGTCCCTGGTATAACTCAGAGCTTCCTGTGTAGTTGTTTTGGCACATATATTATGCAACATATATTAGGACGCAGGTCTGAGGTGTCCATCTCAAAACTGACCCAAAATGGTGCATGCCTGGAGACAAGTGATGGTTTGCGTCAAAATTGGTGCCAGAATGATGCTGGCATTGGGAAGTGTTGCAATAAGTCACGGGTACCCAGACACCTGGCTTCTCCTGTTTCAATATTGGAGAGAGAGGTCTCCAATAAACATATATTCGCAACACAAATTGAACATATTTACTTTGCATTTGCGTTATAGTTGTGCTATATTCCTTTTTGGTGGTTACATATTAAAACAGGCAAGCCAAGCAAAGCATAGACCCGAAATACAACTTTCTTTCTTTTTTATCCTCACTATTTTTGCTATTTTCCCTGGCAGCCACAGACTGATGCCCCGTTTGCACCCAACAATTACAGGAACCCAATAAATCCTTAGAGCCATGCTTCATTATTCTCATTTCCAGGAGGAAGTCAGAGAATTTGACTTATCAACTGTCTCTTGTTTTTAAAATCTCTGCTTGGGGATGTGCTATTTATGCAATAACATAATGCATCAGAAATGTGGCAAATGTGCCTATGCCAAGAGCTCCTGAAGGAGCCTGCTAGCTAGCCTCCTGCCCAAAGACTGAGGGCCGTATCCAAAGACTCTATTCAGGACGTAAACCCCCCAGCCACCATTAGCAACTTTACCTGGGTGCCCCTGATTCAGCACTTTCCCTTCATTCAAATGGAGCCGAACACTATCTTTCTGGTCACTGGTAGAACAATATCCCAATGAGTGACACTTAACATAAAGTGACAAATACTCTAAAAACACCTTATTGTGGGTTTTCCCTTTATCCCCACACAAACATAGACTAATACATACGGTATAAGGTGGAGTATATGCACAAAATAAATTCGCCAAAAGTTGCTGTAGTAAACTGATCCTTATGGAAGGGGGGTTCTTCCAATAGCGATAATAATAAATTGATCCTTGTAGGAGTTTATTCTGTGATTCGCCACAACCATCGCCTAAGAGCCGGATTGTCTTAAACAGGAACTTCCTTTGCTCTCCTTTTTTTTAAGCCCTGATGAGATGTCCAATACTCTTGTGCATTACTGCCCTGCAGCCACTTCTAACCTAGGCATTAATGCACAAGAGTATTGGACATCTCATCAGGGCTTAGCACAGGAGAGCAAAGGAAGTTCCTGTTTAAGACAATCCGGCTCTTAGGCGATGGTTGTGGCGAATCACAGAATAAACTCCTACAAGGATCAATTTATTATTATCGCTATTGGAAGAACCCCCCTTCCATAAGGATCAGTTTACTATCTTTCTGGTGGCTGTTCACATAAAGAAATGCACGAATTGTCCTCAGCGGTACTTAGCCGCGAATGTTATAGAACTGTTTTCGGCATGAGGTGACCGCGCAGCTCCCGGACAAATTGGCCGGGGATTTTGAATGACTTTGCAACCCACCAGGAAAGCGCTTTTTGGAGGGAAGATGCCTGAGACTAAGGGGCACAAATGATATCTAAGAGCCAGCCAAAACACCAAATATTTAGGTCGCAGGAGCTCACCAGCCAAAGCACCAAAAGCCCTGGAACTGTTTTGGGCATAGAACCATGTGTGTGGCCAGTCAGAACTTTAACACGGTGGCGTTTCCCCTACACTGCATGGATCCAGGGGTGTCGCTAGAGGGGGGCCAGAGGGGACAATGGCCCCCCTACATCATGCCGTGCCCCCTTTGTGCCCCCCCAAATGCAGGGCCAAATGTATCAAGCAATGTGCGAGCACAGCTCACACAGGATCAGCAACCCGGGTGGAGGACTTCATGATTCTCCACCTGGGATTATAAAAAAAAAAGAAAGAAAGGATCCACATTGTGGCTTACCTGTGTCGGGGGCATAGCAGAAGGATTACAGCTCCCTCACCACCTCTGACGTGCTCACAGCTGCCCCAGTGGACCCCAGGGACAGATCCACTCAAGCTCTTCTAAAGGTAGGGAGGCTGGGTGGACAAATGAAAATAATATTATTATTGAGAGAATGTGTGTGTGTCTGTTAGTTAATTTGTGTGTGTGTATATATCAGTGAATTTGTAATAGAAAAAAGTTAGGGTCGCACTCAGCCACAACAATTCAACCCAGTGTGTTACTGAGCATGTGTCAGCAAAAAAACCACAAGGAATATGTATAAATAGAAAAATCTCAGGCACTCACTGCGATTGTCTCCAGGCAGATTTATTGCAAAGTTTCGACCTGTTAAGGTCTTTATCAAGCTTGATCAAGCTTGATAAAGACCTTAACAGGTCGAAACGTTGCAATAAAGTGTGAGTGCCTGAGATTTTTCTATTTATCTGTGAGTGTCTGTCACATCAGTGAGAGTCTGTGTTTGTCATTGAGTGTGTGAATGTGTGTATGTCAGTGAGTGCATGTATCTCTGAGAGTGTGTTTGTGTCAGTGTGTGTCTGTCAGTGAACGTGTGTGTTAGTTAAACACAATTACTGTATGTCAATGAGTGTGTATCAGTGAGGGCACCTTCCTACACACTGCCCCCCCATACTGTCACCTTCCTACACACTGCATCCCACACACTGCCCCCATACTGTCACCTTTCTACATACTGCCTCCCATACTGTCACCTTCCTACACACTGTAACCATCCTACATACTGCCCCGCTATACTGTCATCTTCATACACACTCTCCCCCCTTCCAGCCCACAGGTAAGAGGCAGGGAGAGGGGGATAAGCTCAATTTAATTTAAACGGCTCACCCCCCAACACTTATCCAACACTACATGCACTATACAGACACTACTCCATACACACCCACTACATCCACTACCGAGACACTGCATCCATTAAAGATTTTCAATGTAAACTCTGCCTTTTCAGAGAAACGGCAGTATTTACATTGCTGCCTTGCAACACTTCTAGTGACAGTCACTCAGACGGCCTCTGGAGTGCATCCTGGGAGAGTGCTGCACAGTACCTATGTATAGCATCTCCACACCCTGCATCAATGCATCTCTATGAGGAGATGTTTATTGGCGCAGCATGGCGTTTTGCCACACATGTGCAATAGCCTCCCAATGCTTTCCTATGGGAAAGCATTGGATTGGCTGAGATCATCAAGAGCGATGATAGCAGTCGTGGAGGCAGGGCCAGCTGCGGCAAGATCTGTACATCGTGGGAGAAAAAGGTGAGTAAAAACCCCTTTCCCATGTAATTGGAGGAGGACTAGTCATCTAAACACACTCACTCACTGACACACTCACACTCACTCACTCACGGACACTTACTGACACACACAACCACTATCACTGCAATAATCACACACCTTTATGTGACTACCCAGCCTCCCTACCTGGGTTCAGGATTTTCTTGCTACTAATTTTAAGCTGGGTGTTTCCAAAATGAAATGGTGGAAGGCACATAAAACAGTTCATGGGAACTTTATCACTCTTTCCTCAAACACACACACAACGCATTACATTTCTCACTCAAAACATTGTTGACCTAGAGAGTTGCCATAAGCAGACACAGGACACTGCAACATACGAGGACTTTTATTCAAGAGCATCCAACTTGCCATCATTAACACGTCCATTAAAAGATCCTTTCAATATTATGCCATCAGCACCACCTTGCAGACTCCTGCTGCTTCCATTTCAATAACATAGTGCGCACCTCCCCCCACTACTTAACGCTGAACGCATCTAAGGCGCTGATCCATGCCCCTATCCTCTTTTGCCTTGACTACTGCGATCCGCTTCTCAGTGGTCTTGCACGCACGCAACTTGCCTATAATGAATGCGATGGCGAGGCTCATTCTTGCTTACAAATCTCTGCATAATCCTGCTCCAACCTATCTATCCTCCCTAATACACAAGTATGTCCTGTCTAGACCCCTATGCTCTGCCGAAGATCTACGTCTATCCACTTTTCATACTTCCTCCTCTGATGCTCAACTTCAAAACTTCTCTAGGGCTGCACTGCTCCTATGGAATTCTCTTCTCTGATAGACATTCACCCAGTCTCCACTCCTTCAAAAATCATTAAAGAAAAAAATACAAATAAACACTAAATCTTCAGTGAATACTATTCTACCAACCTACTTTTCTACCCCTTCCCTTACCTTTTGTGTCACTTCACCCCACTCCCTCTAGCATGTAAGCTTATTGAGCAGGGCTCTCAATCCCTTGGTTCCTTTGCGTCCATCTCGTCTGGTTACAATTACATGTTTGTTAGGCCACCTATTGCCAAACAAGGCAATAAATGTTGACAACTTCTGGCAAGACTGCTGCGCCATCACTGAATGCAACTCTACATCTTAAAAAATAAACAATGTGGACCAAACTGTTAAACCCCTTTCATCGAAGATTTCAGAATCCTTCTTTCACTATTATCAGAACCTGTACAATATACGCCAGCTGACACCGTGTGCTGAAGAGGAGACACACCAGGAAAATGTAACTCATTGAATATGCTCTGCGAACCTCAAACCAATAGACACCACTGTATTTGATTACCTGGAAAGACTGATGACCATAGAGGAACTTAGCTATGCATTGAAAACTTCAAAACCTGGTTGATCACAGGGCCCTGATGGCTTTCCCCTTCTATACTATAAAACCTTCTTTCCTGAAAAAAGCCCACTACTTTTAGATACCCTTAATTCCATTCTAGAAGGGGCTGTCCCATTGGCCCGTGCCACTTCGGTGAATATCACACACACTTGCCGAAGGAGAGTAAGGACTTGACACTCAACTCCAGGTACCAACCAATCTCAGTTCTTAATGTAGACCTTAAGCTTTTATCCAAGGTATTAGCACTGTGCCTTTTACTTTCATCTACCAGACATTATCTGTTTGGACTAAACAGGGTTTATCCCTGTCTGAGGTCAGTGACAAGCCTTAGACATCAATCGTGAGGAGAAGAATCCATGGTTCTGCTTCTGTCGACTGACACTGAGAAGGTGTTCAACAGGGTGGACTGGGGCATCATGTTTGCGACACTGTGAGAGCTTGGGATAGGTCCCAAGTTCCTCTCATGGATGTTTGACATGCAATTATCCTTGTTTGTACTGTTAATTTTTTATCATGTTTACATTTACCTTAGCAAGTGTAAACAAGCGCATCTCACTCAACTTGTATCGAGACACGCAATCAGAGGTAATACTGGGTTAGATTTAGATTGATACCTGTCTAAGGTTCATTATGACTTGTATATGCTTGAAATAGTAAATGGCACTTGTATAACTTTTTCCATAACAGCGTATACAGTTTATTTGTTGCCTATTTTATATTCTGTAAAAAATCTCAACAACTTAATAAACTCTTATTAAAACACAAACTAAAGCACAGTGAAAAATCATTTCAGTTGTAATGAGACACAAAGGTCCCAATAATTACAAAAGTTTCATAGAGTAGATCTTCACAGTTTAGAAATCTGGCTTTCATATTGAAAACGTGAATAAAAAATTATATGATTATAGTGACAAGAACAGGGGCTCTTCCTTCTAATGAACAATTATCTTACACAAGAAAAAGGGTGAAACAGACCAAAGATGGGAAGTGGGGAGGGGGTCATCTTGAAATCACTTCAAGCATACTTAACCATTAACCACCCTTGATTTGTACATGCTAGTGTGAACGTAATCAATAAGTTGTTAAGCATTGCACTTCACAGTCGTCAGCCATTTGGCCCAAAGTGCACCGTATGTGTAAATATATGGACGGATTAGCTAAAGATAAGCCCCTCCATTTTGCTGAAGTTCTCCATTCTGGAAAACCAGATTTGCATAGACCTGGGTCAGGTTTAATCCTGAATAATGGAATCAAGTAGTTTGCCATGTCCAGTTTTCATTGACTTTTTGTATGCTGAAATGGCCACTGAGGAATTGTGGAGCAGGAATGGTGCACTTAGAGCAACCCAATTGGTTTTGCTGAACAGGGGCTTGGTTCCACTCAGTGGCCCTTTTAACAGTGCGACCAGGCCCCTGTAATAATAGCAATGCTAGGAGAAAGTGAAAGTCTGTCCCGGATACATTGAGAATCCGCACGGGAGGCAGAGAGGAGGAGGAAGCAGGAGTGAAGGGCGAAAACAAAGAGAGAGCAAGCTCCAGGCACACACTCCCATCACCCTCAATCAGTAGCATCACGCTCCTGAAAAACAAAAAGTATGCTGACAGGGGGTGGCTATATACATAAAATGTATGTGTGTCAGTGTGTGTATGTGTTTCAGTATGTGTGTATATATATATATATATATATATGTTTGTCATTGTATGTTTCAGATTGTATCTGAGCGGGTGCATAAGTCAGTGTGTATATCTGTGTGTGTGTCAATGTGTATGTTTATTTGTATAATTACATATGTATGTGGCAGTGTATGTGTATATGTGCATACATCCCAGCAATCAAAACCAATGCTACATGCAAACATACTCTTGCAATCAATCACAAACATTACATACAAACACACCACTGCATTTAAATGACAAAAATAACACCAGGGGAAGGCAGGGCCGGCGCAAGGATTTCTGCCGCCCTAGGCAAATATCCATTTTGCAGTCCCCTCATGTCACTCACTCACTGACACACAGTGGTAGACACACGCTCACTGACAGACATACACACAGAAACTCATTGACAGACATACACTCACTCACTGACAGACACAAACACACTGACAGACACACACACTTACTGACAGACACACACACAGACAGACAGACACACACACACAGAGACACTAACTGACAGACGCACACACTCACTGACAGACACAAAGACAGACAATCACTGACATACATACACTCACTAACTGACAGGCACACACACACAGACACTCACTGATATACAGACACACTCACTGAAAGACAGACAATCACTGACATACATACACTCACTTACTGACAGACACACACACACACACACACACTGGTAGACACACAAACACACTCACTGACAGACAGACATACACTCACTCACTGACACACACACACACACACAGAAACTCACTGACAGACATACACTCACTCACTGACAAACACATACACACACAGAAACTCACTGACAGACATACACTCACTCACTGACAGACATACACTCACTCACTGACAGACATTCACTCACTGACAGACATACACAGAGAGACACTCACTGACAGACATTCTCTGACTCACTGACAGACACACAGACAGACACTCACTGACACACACACACACTCACTGACATACATACACTCATTCACTGACAGACACGCACACATGCAGACACTCACTGACAATCACACAGAGACACTAGCTGACAGACACACACTCACTCAGTGACACACGTACTCACTGACGTACACACACAGGCACTCACTGACATACATTCACTCACTCACTGACAGCCACACAGACAGACACTCACTGACATACATACACTCACTCACAGACAGACACTTACTGACACACACCGAGACACTGACAGACACACACTCACTGACAGACACACAGACAGACGCTCACTCACTGACAGACACACACACACACACAGATACTCACTGGCATACATACACTCACTCACTGACAGACAGATACACACACACACAGACACTCAATGACATACATACACACACACAGGCAGGCACACACATACACACACAGACGCACACTCACTGACAGACAGACACACACACACACAAAGGCAGACACTCACTGACAGACATACACACTCTCTGACAGTCAAACACTCACTGACACACAGACTCAGACATCCAGCATCCCTACCTACCTGGGGCCCAGTGTGAGGCAGCGCCTCACTCCTCTGTTTAGTATGCCGGGGGCTGGAATGACATCTTATTCTGGCTTCCGGCATCACAGAGGGCGCGCAAGGGAGGAGTGGGAAGCTGCAAGAAGATCCTCCCTCGCCGCCTGCCTTCTCTATCCCCCTCTCCTCCGTTCACCAGCATTTGTTGGCAGAGCAGGCACCTGCCATCAAGGTAACCAGGTGCCTGCTCTGCCTTACATAGCACTGCTTCGGGGGTGCCCTGAGGTGGCCAGATTGACACCTCCTGGGCCCCCTGTGACAGGGCTCCTCTGGCTCACTTTCGAGTGCCCGGAGGATCGGCCCAGCGCTGGGGACGGGCAGTTTAGGAGCTGCTCACCCAGTGCTGCGGACCCAGACAAGGAGAGCCCACCAGGAAATACCCCGGTGGGCACCCCCAGCAGGCCAGCGCCCTAGGCAAATGCCTAGTTTGCCTAACGGTGGCGCCTGCCCTGTGGGTAAGCAACTTTCATCACTCCAGATGTTGTGTAATACATCTCCCATAGTGCTCTTACAGTCATAATGCTGGTAAAGCATCAGGGAAGATGTCGTCCACAACATCTGGAGTGCCAAAGTTTTCCTATCCCTAGCATATAATATACAAACACACCACTTCATTCAAACAACAATACTACACACAAATGTGCACCTGCATTTAAAAGCCTACATACATAGATGGCTATTAGAGGTTCTTCCTGGGGCAGTGCTACAGTCCCTCCTCCTTGTTGATTTCAGCCAATCCAATGTCTTCCCTATGGGTGACCATTGGATTGGTTAAAAGTCATAAAATCTGATGATGTCAGCAAGGAGGTGGATCAGGGGTGGGGCCAGCGCCAGCGGACCTGCGCGGCACTGGAAATAAGGTAGGTTTTTTACCTTTTAAAGGTGGTTAAGGGGGGGACAGCCACATAAATGGCGGTTTTAGCACTGTAGGGTCAGGAATACATGTTTGTGTTCCTGACCCTATATTGTGCCTTTATCTAGGTAAGGAACACTGGAAACAGAATAGGAACAACTCAAGGTCAATAATGTAGGTGGATCAGGAACAAAAGTCAGTGTCAGTAGCAATTGTGCTTATGGGCTCTCATAAACCACCAAAGGGCACCGAACAAGATGTTTCTACTATATACAGGTTCAGGGCCCTGCGTCAGTTTTGCATCATTGACACACATTCAATGAATCAGTCAAGATGCAAATAACTATTAACTAAGCTACATATAAAAGGTATAAATGTCGCACCTTGCATCACTTACAATTTGCTGGAGTTAGCATGATGGAACTGCAAGCGAGTAAAAATTATGCTGCATCCAAATAAATAAGATGTATTCTGAATTGACACTGCTGCATCAATATCGGAGCAAGAAGCTTGGGTTGGTATGTGTAAACCATGTGTCATTATTGGACCATGGCTGAATTGACGTGTCAAAAACATTAAAGTTGGTATGTTTACTAACATTAAGTCAGTGGTGGCCAAAAGGTAGATTTTAATCTTCTGTAAAATTACAATTCCAATGGCAATATGTCAAGCTAAGGTTTGAAAAATATCATGGGAGAAATAATTCTACACCTGCTGGGTATCAACATTTTGGTCGCCTCTACACTATGCCTTATCTACTAATGCAAAGTCTATCCTTACAGGAGATGTTAAAACTGACAGTTTTCATGTATAGGATGTCCTTAACAATTGAAGGTCTTTGGACTGATAAGCAGACAATTGGTTAGGACACCGGCAGAGGTCAAGCGTTCAATCAAAGTCAAACAATATAGCAGAGGTCATACGTGGAGTAATCAGAATTCCATGAGTACAAAGGCCTTGAATGTCAAACCAAAGTGATTTGTCGAAGGCTGATAGTCATTGTTTGGGTTAACTCCTTACTGATAATTCCTGATCATAGATAAAGATTTCCTGATCTGGCAACGGTTTTGTTAAAATACGATTTCTCTTTCAAACCTTGTATTATTTCCATTGATGAAGTGCTAAAGTGTAGGTTAAACTAAATAAGTGAATGGACAAAAAAAAAAAAAAAGAGTAAAAAATATGCTAAAGGAAATATTTTAAAATCTTTCAAATGTAATATGTTGGGGGACAGGGACAGGCAGCCATGTTAGCAGGCTACAAATCACTGGATTTTGGATTTGTGCTGCCCTAGGCACGACTAAATTCAGGCACCCCCCTAATCTAAATTTGCCCCACCACTTCGTGTCAAGGCCACTTTTTTGAATGACAGACGCACGCCCTCATTGACACATGCACTGACATACACTCACTGACAGATACATAGTTATTGGCGCACGCATACAGTCATTGGCATGCACACTGTTTAAACAACCCACACTTTCAATGACAGACACACACACACTCACTGA